AAACCACCCCAGAAAGGGTCTGGAGCACCCCAAGGAAGGTCTCGTGGACTCACCTGGCCACCGCCCCCGCCAACACCTTCTCCGCCTGGTCCCCGATCACCTCCTGTCGCAGGTAGTAGAGCATCCGTACCCTCAGCAGAACCCTGGGAAGCGGTGGGATGGGACGGTCAACCAAAAAGAAAGCAGGGTGGGGGACGTTTGGGGAGAAGAAGACCTCCAAGAAGACCTCAACCCACTTGTTGCATTGATGCTTGAGGTGCTTCTTGTAGCTCTCGTCTTGGAAGAGGGTGTCGGGGTTGTACTTGCGGATCCACTCGGCTTTGTGGACATCAAAGGTGCTTTGGGATTTGACCTTCTTCCCCTTCCGACCTCGAGGAACCGGGATGGAAAGACCTGGAGAAAACCAACGGAAGAAGGAGAAGAAAAAAAAAGGTCAAGGTGGGACCTCGAGAGGTCCTCGGTTGTCCCTCAAGTCCTGTAGACCCTCACCCGAGTGGTTTTGGAGCTCCTTGGCCTTGCCGTTCTCGGTGGGGCTGATGAGGTCCCAGATGAAGCCTTTGATGTTCTCGTCACCGCGATAGTGGAGAAGACAGTAGACCAAGATGGCCCGGCAGATGGTCTCCACGTCTCGTTCCGAAAGACGTCGCTTGAAGCGTCCGTGGGAGAGGATCTCCCGCCATCGGCCCCAGCTGGCGGTGGAGAAGGCGGTCAGCGGCCGGGGAGGTCCCTGGCTGGCGTTTCCCCACCTCCCAGCATCCATCTCCACCGAGGATCTCCTTGGGGTTGCCACCAGAGAAGTGGTGGACTTGGTCTTGGTCTAATCTCTCCCCCAACCATCTGCTGGTGGTTGCCACCACAGCAGAGGTGGACCTGGACCTGTTCTGCTCTCCCACCCAACTATCTGCTCATGGTTGCCACCAGAGAAGACCTGCTCTCCTCTCTCCCCCAACCATCTGCTCATGGTTGCCACCAGAGCAGAGCTGGACCTTCTCTGCTCTCCTCATGCTTGCCACCACGAGAGAGTTCACCTTGGACTTGAGCTGCTCTCTCCACCAAGTATCTGCTCATGGTTGCCACCAGAGCAGAGCTGGAGCTTCTCCGTTCTCCTCCAAGCATCTCCTCCTGGTTGCCACCAGACCACGCCTGGACCTCAGCTGCTCCCTCCACCAAGAACCTCCTCCTGGTTGCCACCAGAGCACGCCTGGACCTCAGCTGCTCCCCCCCCCAAGAACCTCCTCCTGGTTGCCACCAGAGCACGCCTGGACCTCAGCTGCTCCCCCCCCCAAGAACCTCCTCCTGGTTGCCACCAGAGCACGCCTGGACCTCAGCTGCTCCCCCCCCCAAGAACCTCCTCCTGGTTGCCACCAGAGCACGCCTGGACCTCAGCTGCTCCCCCCCCCAAGAACCTCCTCCTGGTTGCCACCAGAGCACGCCTGGACCTCAGCTGCTCCCCCCCCCAAGAACCTCCTCCTGGTTGCCACCAGAGCACGCCTGGACCTCAGCTGCTCCCCCCCCCAAGAACCTCCTCCTGGTTGCCACCAGAGCACGCCTGGACCTCAGCTGCTCCCCCCCCCAAGAACCTCCTCCTGGTTGCCACCAGAGCACGCCTGGACCTCAGCTGCTCCCCCCCCCAAGAACCTCCTCCTGGTTGCCACCAGAGCACGCCTGGACCTCAGCTGCTCCCCCCCCCAAGAACCTCCTCCTGGTTGCCACCAGAGCACGCCTGGACCTCAGCTGCTCCCCCCCCCAAGAACCTCCTCCTGGTTGCCACCAGAGCACGCCTGGACCTCAGCTGCTCCCCCCCCCAAGAACCTCCTCCTGGTTGCCACCAGAGCACGCCTGGACCTCAGCTGCTCCCCCCCCCAAGAACCTCCTCCTGGTTGCCACCAGAGCACGCCTGGACCTCAGCTGCTCCCCCCCCCAAGAACCTCCTCCTGGTTGCCACCAGAGCACGCCTGGACCTCAGCTGCTCCCCCCCCCAAGAACCTCCTCCTGGTTGCCACCAGAGCACGCCTGGACCTCAGCTGCTCCCCCCCCCAAGAACCTCCTCCTGGTTGCCACCAGAGCACGCCTGGACCTCAGCTGCTCCCCCCCCCAAGAACCTCCTCCTGGTTGCCACCAGAGCACGCCTGGACCTCAGCTGCTCCCCCCCCCAAGAACCTCCTCCTGGTTGCCACCAGACCACACCTGGACCCAAGCCCGTCCTCACCCATAGACCAGGAGGTGCTTCTCCACGCGGAAGCAGTCGGTGCGACCGTAGGCGTGGTGCAAGGCGTGGTGGTGCCGGTCGTGACGACGGGACCGAGGTCTCTCCTCATCTTCGCTCTCCAGGTCCGAGAACTCCACCAGGTCATCGTCCCGAAGCGTGCTGAAGTGTCGCGTCTGCTTCCGCACCCGCGGCGTGTCGATCACCAGGTTGTTCTGGAAACCGGGATGGAAGCAAACCAATCAGGCGCCGCCCCGCCTCCGTCCTACCACCGCCCCACCACCGCGGTTGTCTTCTCCGACCTT